TTTTTTAACATTTTGATGCATGTCTATGATCCCGCTGGAGGAACAGAAAAGTTTAGTGGCCCTCAATTTTCCGATGATGAATGGAACACTCTAAATGTGCGATTTCTGTATGAGGTATAGTTCATTTTAAGCAATTCTAGTAAATGGGTGTCACTGATTAGGACAAATAGTCTACTTGTGCAATAGCACAAATGGTATGTCTCATTCTTCTGGCCTCCTTTGAGACAGAAAAGAAAGGGGACAACAATGACCCTGATAAACCTGGAATTGCTGCTGTTTAAAAAGGAGCTGTTATATAATATACGTTACCCAACACACGACTGACTTGATGCTACTGAATCATTTCTGTGTGTTTAGCATTGGCCTATTAATTAAAAATGTATGTCATGCTGGAAAACCTTCCTTATACCAAAAGACAGTTGACCAAGATCCCTTCCCCTTCAACTTATCGTTCTCAGAAAAACACATTTCCTCCAGCCCAATAAAGCAGTTTGATACACTAACTGAGCTACTTTCTGGGTCTGACTCCTGAGCACTAAACTTTGGTGTAGACAGACCCAGCTGGAAGAAAGGGCCAGGATATTTGTTCTATACTGCTTTTTTTTCAGCTTGCTAACAACTGATACTGACACAAGACCTGATCAATAAATAACCAATACTGTAATAACAGCGACTGTAAGTTGCTTCAGGACAACAGCACTTAAAATAAAAAAAAGGGAATGCAATATATACGAATTAGAAATGCTGAGGATTTCATTAAAATGGATGTAACTGTGCTCTGTTATTTTTTTTTCCCAAGGCTTTCCAATAAAATCATGGATCCATTCTATATATTTTTACCATTCCTTTTGCAAAGTCACCAGGTTTCATCCTTCAGAACAATAATTGAATATGTACAAGAAATAATCAGGTGATTTAAATTTAACTAAGGCATTTGCGTGGAGTTTAGCATAGTAAAAATAGTATGATTTGTGGGAGGCAATTAACAATCATTTGCTCTGTGGATACAAGTAATTTGTTTAAAGAGCACTGACCTATGAGACAGCTAGTTTGTGTTGGCTGTGATGGAAGGGAGCTATTGACTCTAAACAGTGTAACAACGCCATTGACAGAACCGCATTTGAATGCGCACAAAAGGTCTCCAAAATACTTGAGGAACATGAGATCTTTCAGAGGGGGAAGTGGGGTGGGGGGAGCTGAGGAAACCAGCCAACACGGAGGTCTCCACACCATGGGGAAAGCGAGCCAAAGCGCAGAATCTGGACAATGTAGTGAGTAAAAAGGGTTCCCCCCCTTGGTGCCGTGCCAGCCCGGCCGTCCTCCCGCGCCATAAATACTCCATCAGGAGGAACACAAACCCTGAGCGATTGCTGCCTGAGTAATGGTTTCATAAGCCCCAAATTGAATGCGAGTCTTTGTGCAAAAGAATCATTCTTATGTTCACATCCAGCAAATGCACTGCAGGCCTGGGAATGGCTCCACGGATTCCACATTCACGCGGTGCCTGCGCCGGTGCCCATCGAATGCCAACACCGCGTGCAGCCACAGGGCACTGCGAGGGACCTGCTGCCTCCTGCCAACCTGGGGCATCTCCTTCACTCAGCCAAAGCACTTATAGAAACAGGGACATGCAACAAAAGCCTTGGGGTGGGAGCAGCCAGCCCAAAAAGTTTCATGCACCACAAATTGTCCTTCGAAGCTGTTTTAATATCCTCTAGTTGGACTGTGCGTCCTGCGTTTGCTGGGGAATCATTATGCAAAACACAGACCTGGGGAAAACAGTAATGCAGTGGCACAACCTGGCTGCAAACACAGTCCTGCAGCTCAGCTGAGAGCAGCCCACCAGAACCTGCAGAGCCTAAAATATCTGTGCAAAGGTGCAGTTTTATCTGTACCATAATTTCATTCCAAAGCATACAAATCACAATTTGCTGTAATCAAATAACACTGCAGTGCTTATATCCTAATTAAAAAATAATCTCTGATATTTAATTTAGAAACCTGGAAGATTCTACCAGCAAAAAATTATGGCTACAGCCTGCACCAAGCCCTGGATTTACCCACAGAGTTTTTCAGGTAGCACTTTTAAAATGATTGTTAAACAGGCAAATGATGCACCACTCAATAGATATTCAAACAAGTATTGCACCCAGTTATTAATTTGCACTACTCACTTTTAAATGCAGCAAATACCTCATTAATTTAATTTTAGGTGCCCACCAGTTTATATTGCATTTTACAGTCTAGAAGGCAATTTACTATTAACTGGCAATTACATACAGAATGATTGTTAATTCTGCTCCTAAGTGCTAGCTGCTTGAAAATTGTTATCTCTCTCTAATTTTTGACCTTCTTACAACAGGGGTGAGGTACACTGGGAATACAAAGGACTAGTAGAGAAGAGCTGGACATGTCATTTGTGACTCATTCTTTTAATTCACCGTGCTAATCAACTGAACTGCCACAATCTCCCAAGGTAATTGTATCTTTATAATAGTTGAAAGCAGCGGGCAAAAAGGCATGGATAGATGGGGAAAGGCCTTGCCTTTGCCTGCTGGGAGACTCCAGCTCCTGCTTCTGCATCAGGCTAATGGGGGCTTTGGAGCAAAATCTGGAACTTTCGCATCTCCCTACCCTGATCGTTTAATGTCTCAACTCCTGCGCTCACAAAGGCTTTGTACACCACACTACACTCTTGTTTCATTATTCCGCAGCCTTGTTGCCCTATGGTCTACCTCCTGCTGGGAAGGTTAAATGTTAGAGTGCCAAGCCAGGCTGCAAGCATGGTGGGACACTGATGGGAAACAGATGCCCTGGGGACCCAGCCCCTCCCTCCACCAGGGCTGCAGCATTTTCATTTTCTGAAATACAGCAAAGCTTGGCTTCCCTCTCAATGGCAGCTGTAATTTCCAAAGACTATCTCAGCCACCCTATCACTCCAGCATAAAGCAAAGCAGAAGTTTCTTGGTCAGGCAGGCTCTGGCTTTATCTCTCTGTTTTCTCATTGCTGGGATATTGGCTTGCATTTCCCCCAAAAGCTGTTTTAAACATATATTCCTGTTAAAGTGTTCAGTAACATAAGTTTATTACAATTTTATTCCAGTGGAAGAAACTCCTGACATTCTCACGACTATTTTGAACATCTTTACTTAGTGATAAAGGCAAAATACAACTGCAGGAAAGAAGGAACGTGTTGTTTGTCATTACAGCTTCATACACATGTGCATTTCAAAACAGCAAAATTAGCCAAATTTGCAAAATCCACACCTAAGAAATCAGTTAAAGACATTACTCTAAAGCAAGTCCAAATTCCAGGCCTCTGCCCTGAGAGCCAGACCGTCATCTGGTTCAAATCTGCAGCGCTTCCCTGTGTGCTGCACCAGCTCCCAACAGCTCAAATATCTGGACCTTGGGCTGAGGCTTTTAATTCATTCATTTTTTATGTTGTTGGAGACTTATCTTAGCTTGTCATACTTGTCAGGACATTCTGCTGGAGCTCTGCATGAACTATATATATAGTGTGTATGTGTGTATCTGTATATGTATCTGTATATATATGTGTGTGTATATATATACATAAAATATAACCATAGTCATAGTATAATTCATAACAGCATTTTTAAGTCCATAACAGTGACGGCCCCGTCTGTGCTCACCGCCTTTGCAGCATCCTGCAAAATGATGTTGACTTTAAAGAGATATTGTCATCACCACAAGCACCACAGTCACCACCATTCCCTTTGGAAACTCTGGCAAAACCCAACCTAAAGACCAATAAATGTGAGTATTCTCTCCCTCATCAGCCAGAAGTGAGGCACCAGGTTTGGATGCTGGTAGTTTTGCTCTGGAGGTGATTTATTTGGGAATAGACAGGATAGAGGAATCTCAGATGCCACCATCACTTAGAAGTTCATTTCAACAATAGATCTTAGGCAGACAAAAAAAACATACCCACGAAGCACTAACCATTTTAAAACTCCTAGCTCAAAACTACCCAGGAACACACTTTTCCCATTAGATCTAAATTAATAGATAGAAACAGTTGCAGTCTAGTGGGAAAATATTCATCAAAATGCACATCATCTGCACATCATCTGCAATCTGCGTTATCTACCCAATGAGCAGCCAGAACTCTCCCTGAATCCCTGCAGTCTGTCGAGTAAACAGTTAAAGGCTCTTTGTTTTCAAAAGAGAGATTGATTCATCAGATCAAATTTATTACCTCCAATCCTCATCCAAAAACACAGTGAATTAAATCGCTCTTTCTCCCTCTCCCCTCCCAGCACCTCACTCAAATTCATTGGGAACCTCCAGAAAAACTGCAATACACATATCAGATAAAACACCAGCAATGCCTCACCCCAAAGTAAGAATTTTCACATTAAAACCACTGGAAACCACAAAGTTCCGACTTTTTCTTGTGCTGCTGTTAATCAACATCAAATGCATTTTAAAGAATTGGCACAAATAAGTCATTCCCAGGCTTGTGAGTTTGGATCCTAAGTTTCAGGTCTGGGGGAATCTTCAGAGCCAGATTGTGAATCAGGTTGGATAAAGTCATTTGGATCCAACTACAGCTCCTTGAACCGATGCCTAAAACTTCAACTGAACCTTTAGGGAAGTTCAAGAAGTTTGGATACATAGCCTGAAAAATGTTTTCATCACCAAGTACTTCTTAACTCTTTTTTTTCTGGCTGGAGCAGAGTAGGAAATACCATTGTTAATCTATTTCTGGCCAATATCAAAACAGGAAATAACAGGCAACTTCTAAGAAAGCTTGATCCCATGGGACATCAAGACGTTTTTAAGACCCAAGAGGTTGGGCAAGCCTCAGAGCTCCTGGGTGCCCACATGAACAGGTATTTTGAGGTCCAGCTACAACCAGTTACACATCCTGCAAGGCACATCCTACTTTTAACAGCACTTTTAGCTGCCTGTGTAGCACCAAGAATTGGACAGGAGTTGTCATCCCAAAAGGAGCATGGGAACCATCCACTTAC